AAACATGAAAGTTGGAGACAGAGTGCCATCTAGTGCTGCACAGCGTCTTTGCAGGGTCTCATGAAACTGAACCAGTCACCCCCACTCTAATGAACTCCTAACTCAAAAATAACTCATATACAATGAGAAAATAAGGCTAGACAAGTTATGTTTTCATTCAAGCATAAATTTAAAAAAAAAAAAACCACCACAGTAATTATGGGCCCCAAATAAATGTGTTTGCATTCAAAGGAAAATACCATCGGCATTTACAGAGGCATCTATCAATGGGGGAAAGAAAAAAAAAATCTCAAAATTACATACAAACTCTAGGCAAAGTTTCCTTTGGAGATGGCTAACCTAAGACTTAAAGGGCCAATGACTAAAATCCTCTTATTATGTTTTTTTAGCCAAACTCTAGTGTAAAAAACAAACAAACAAAAAACCCCAAAAAAACCCCACCAAGTTGGTGACAAGCAGCAATGAGACCTCAGCATCTTAATGGTCAGCTCTAACCTTATATTCAAACAGACTCTGTATCTTCCCTTGTGAGCTCTCCTATTCATCCACAACCCTCCTTCCAATGCAGAACCAGCACCCTTAACTTCCATCCTCCCCTTAAAACACAAGCAAACAGGCAACAGCCAAGCGAGTCTCAGACCAAACCTCAACGCATTCTGAATTTACAGGATGTCAACTCCAAACTTACGGGATATCAAGTTCTTGCTCTGTGTTGAACACCATCACACAAGCAGGCTATAGTGACTATGCCGTGACTCTTAGCTCAAAATTAACAAGGTAAGGACTCAGTCTGATTGCAAGAAGAACAAATCTATCCCCTGCAGTCACATTAAAACACCCCTCAAGTCCCAAACTCTACCATCATCATCTTTGGTTCCCTGGCTCTGGCAGGGATCCACCTTCCTTGGCTGTTTCTGCCACTGCCCAAGCTACAGCATCACTCTTGGAAAACTATCCTTGTGATCCCATACCCTTGACATTTGTGCACTGTTATCTACCTAGCAATTGCCAGCTTTCCCAAGACCAACTCTGGTTCTCATCTGATCCACTCAACTGAGCACCCTCATTACATATTTCTTCCTTTTCAGGATTATCACATCTGGGGCACTATACTTCCCACTTCGGGACACCCACTGCCTTGTTCTGGATCTACAGGTCTCTCCAGCTGCTCCACTCTACTTCTTCTGCACATACACTCTGCTTGTAGTAACATCTCTCCTAGTTCAAACACTAATTATAGCCTGGTCTGGATTTTCAGTTAACTATCTTGAAGCGACTAGTGATTCAGAGGACATTAGAAGGTGATGCACAAAAAAAAAATTTCTAGAAACAAAAAAAAAATCTTACATGTATATTTACACCCACTAATAATCACAACAGCACACAATACAAAAATAAAGTAAGGAAAACAAAAATAAAAATTAGAATTGTTTTGGGCTGCTCATTTTCTTGGTTGTAAATAACAAAGCACTGTGACAATGCTATAGAAAATGATCCTTGAGGCTGCTTTTTTTTTTTTTTTCTTTGCTATAAAAAAAATTGGTCAGCTAGCTTTAGTAATAGGCCTCTCCCACAAAAATCCTTTTGATTAAAAAAGTCTGAGAAAGAGTGGTCTGTCCCACATGCATTTATCTTATAATTCCAGAGCAGGCTGTAATTCTCCGATTGAAGACTATGCTCAGTGACAGATCTGTCTGGTTTACATTTTTTAAGTACACTTACTAAACAAAACCATTTAAGATGACTTTTTAAAGTTCTTGGATTGTATTGTTAAGTTTCACAATTTCTGCATTCATTAAAAAAATCCACTTCATTTTTTTCAAAAGGTCAACTGGAAAAATCTTTCCAGGAAAGCCATAACAGGCAAACGCATCAGGAGGTCCCGTTTGCAGCCTTGCGTTATTGCATAGTTTATCCTCCAAAACAGGGGCAACCACACCTGGCCCACACCAAGTGGCCAAACCATTAACAACAGGGTTGGCACAGATGTGGACTTATGGCACAGTCAGATGCTCACGTGCCTTTTCCATTTTCCAAGTGGCAGAAAGCAAGCTCACGCAGAAGCACATGTTGATGGTAAACCTTTCACACCTTCATCCTCTCCCTCACATCCCAGAGCCTCACTTGACTCTGCCTGTACTCAGCCCTCACGTTGCACTGGATACTCTACTGCATTCTCCATCACTTCATCACGCACAAGAGCAAAAACTGGGGGAAGAGCAGAGGTTTGGGGAATACAACCCAAGAGAAGAATGGAGATAAGCTCAGCTACAAATCTCCCTAAAACGCAGTCAGAGGCAGGACATCTCAGGTCCTACCACCAAGCATGAACACAACCTACTTTCTCTCCAGCCATGCTTTAGATGCTTCATCTGGCTGTTCTCACGCTGGCAGGTCCTATACCAGGCACCATATGCACACTGAAAAAATGCCAGAGGAGCTTAAAGTTATTGCACGTGTATAAGTTAATGCTAGAAAATATTTAGGAACTAGCTTTGCAGGTCCTTCCTACGTCTCACGCTCATCTGGTTAACAAGAGGGCTTCAGGCAGCCTCGGAGAAGGCCAAGCCGCGAGGCTGACCCTGCAACTTCATTCTCAGTAAGAGCTGCCTGCAGGACAGGGACTCAGAAGTAACCTAAATAAATTCAGCTGAAAGTACAGAGGAGGGAAATCTCTGGGGACGAAATGAAAGAGATCTGGAACAATGCAAGGAGGACATTCTGGGGACAGTGGAACAGAAGTGACTTGCTTTTGTTTTCAATTAATAAGTGGAACAAATTCCTGAGTCTGTTGTGGACTTCAATTTTATTTTATTTTTTCCCCCTTTAAACTTCTGTAGTGGTTTTAATCCCTCAGAAACATTTTCTTCTCATTAAGCTACATAAAAGCATTAGCAGTTTGTTTAATCTTATTCTAACTTTTGTAATAAACAAATTAACTACTGAGCAATGCAAAAAAAAAAAAATTCGAGTGGTGCAACAGCTCCATGGAAAAAAGGTCAAAGAAAGTTTGCAAGACTAATACCTGTTTAATATCTTAACTCTGACTTTAATATCTTAACTGTCAGAGTTCACAGCTTGTGCTTCACACAGTTTACCCATGAACTGACACAGCATTAGCAAATCGTACTCCAAAGACACATGGACTTACTTTGTGTATTACACCTGAAATTATCTCAGCATACAAGTTGCTTCTTGTTTTCATTCTGCTAATTAAACAGCATTTAAGACCACTCTG